CTTGGCGCTGATCGCGTACGACCGAGCGGTACCGCCTTCTCTCTCGCTCAGCAGACGCTCATGCCCTGCCTAGGGTAGCGGGCAGTTGGCGCAGGCCGCGGCCGCCGGCGATCTGGCGCGTGTCAAGGCCCTCTTGGCGGCCGGCGCAGACCCGAATGGCACCCAATACGTACGCTGCCTTGCGTGCGGACCTCGCCTCAAGTGCGCGTGCTCTAGGGCTTCTCGGCCCTCTTCCACGCTGTCAACAACGGCAACGTCAAGATGGTCAAGATGCTCGTGGGCCTCGGCGCCGACGTCAACAAAGCGTCCTGGGTACGGTCGTGCCATCGACATGTGCCAGCTGCAACGACAGATCGTGCTAATAGGACGTCGCGCCGCTCTACCTCGCCGTCAAGAAGCGCTACAAGGAGACCATGCGGGCGCTGCTCGAGGCCGGCGCCGATCCGAACGCGACCCACAAGGTACGCATCGACCGTAGCTTTGCACGCTCACATCTCGAGTGTAGGGCCAAATGACAGCGCTGCTCATGGCTGCGTGCCACGGCGACTTGGAGCTTGTCGACGCGCTCTTGGCGGCCAAGGCGGATGTCAATCAATGCAGCGAGGTACATACTGCGGTGTGGCTGACTGTGAGAGCTCATGGGCACGGTAGCGAGGTGTCTCGCCTCTGTACGCTGCGTCTGTCTTTGGCTACGTGGAGATTGCCCGCCTTCTTGTCGCCGCTGGCGCCAACGTCAATGTGGCCGAGCACCAGTTTGGTCTCTCGCCGCTGCTGATTGCAGCCCACGCTGGGCACAAGACGCTGGTCAAGCTGCTCCTGGCTGCTGGCGCCGACATCAACTACTGCAGCAAGGTACTCTATTTTAAATGGAGCAAATATGGGTAGAAGCACGAACGTAGCGCCCGGATGCGTACAAGCGTGGTGCGTGGAGCCTGCACGGCGACGACGTTGCCGGCTTTAGCCCGCTCTGCCTCGCGGTTGCCAACAACCATGTTGATGTTGTCCTTGCCCTCATCATTGCCAAGGCAGATGTCAACAAGGTGCGCGCTCTGCAACCGAATCGAACGCTAAACAACCAAGTAGGGGTCGCCTCCACCACTCTTGCGCGCAATCCAGCTCGGCAGCTTGAACATGACCAAGATCCTCCTGCGTGCCAATGCCAAGACGGACACGGCCTTTGTACGTCCTCAGCATTCCCGTCGAATGATGGCTCATGGTGATTGTAGCATGGCGAGTCGCTTGTCTCGCTCGCAGCCAAGCTAGGCCACGAAGACATTGTCCGCGCGCTCGTCGAAGCCGCCAAGCAAGCCAAGGTAGACCATATTCTTTAGAGAGAATGAATGAATGGTATGGACGACGGTGCGGGATGTAGCCTAGCTTTTTGACGCGCGTCTTGTCCCGGGAACCGTCGCTGGACCTCTCGGTAGGACCTGCCATTTGGGCTATCGTTCTCATGCATTGGGTTGTGTCTAGTCGCCGAGCCATGCTGCATAACTTGTCGCTCCATTCTGCTCGTTTTTGTTAACCAACAACACTGTTTCATTCTGCACCACGGTTGGAGAGGAACGCCAGCGTCCAGTCTGCGGCAGCAGCACGTCGCCCATTGGATGAACGCTGAGAGCAACGATGACGGCGGCTGCAACTGGTGAAGCGGCTACGGTTGATGCTGACGTACTTGTTGAAGCGATGACGTCAGCTCTGCCTTTGTGCAGGAGGTACGATACCGCGTTGAGCAGTCGCTTCGGCCGACCTACGTACAGCTTGGGACATCTTCCTACGTCAAAGTACGCCGACCCAGGCGACAGTGTCTGCAGTAACGAAGCAGGTAAATACGTGAAGCAACAGAGAGACTTTTGGCAACGCGTCATTCAGAGCAAGTGCAGGGCCATGCATACTATGCGTAGCAGTGTACGTGCAGTAGACCGAGTGGCAGGAGGCGCCTCATAACATGGCAGTACGTATCCACCACCGCGCATGACCATCGCGTGCGCACTAGTTCGCGTGCATACAACCACAGTTCAACAACCAAGATGCACCTCACGTAACGTTTACGTGAGAGATACAGCGAAGTGCTTCTCACTGCTGGTTACAATAAGTTGAGGGACTTCATGTTTCTCGCGGTGTAAAAGATGATCGACACGACCCTCAGCAAACGAAAGCGGGTGGTCCATGCCCTTTCTACTACAATTTGTCTGCCTAGCGATGACGACGACGGAGCTCAATACCCCACGCGTGGCAATGAAGCGTTGAGACGAAGGAAGACGACTGCGACAGCGCGACTTCGATGGCCTGTTGGGAGAACTACTAGTTCAACAACTACTCCTGCCAGGTCATTAATTACCTAAACGACAGTACGCGTCGTGAGCGATGACGCAAGAATGGCACCTACCGGTACTACATATCAGACAACGTGCGGTTGATGGCGCATGGATAGGACTCATCTTGTGGACTGCACTTGCTATGACGTGCAAATTCTTGTAGACCGATTGCACTGCGGTCCGAATTGGTCTATCGCAACGGTCTCTCGTTGTTGATTCCACCTGACGAGTTGTGCATTGACACAGTCTATAAGTATAAGGTGCGACCGATCCAAGGTCGCTCTTGCCTCTCGACCTGCCACGTGGTTTCTGAGACATGTCCTTTACGGATACCGCGACGACGGCAAAGTCGCAATCGTTCGGCTTTCGACTCGTTGAACGCACGCGAGTGCTTGCTACATGCACGTATACACGTCAATTACAACGCGTCTTTTGAGACTCGTGCAGTTCTCCAGAGTGGGATTCACCCGCGCGTGCGATGCGTTCATGGTTCGAATGGGCTGCTTGGTTTTGCGTCATTCCGTCCGACTACTTTCGTCGCCGCACGCAACGAGGCGCCCGAAGCCCTGACGCACGGCTTCTTTTTCTTTCAACTCTTCTGATGCGCCGAGGTGCTTGTGCTTGGTAGACGCGCGTCGATTTGTTGATGCAGGTGTTGATGATGGCATGTGGATCGATGTTCGTGTTGGGACAAAGCCAGCCCAGGACTGCGACAGCGCATCGGCAGATGTATTATTGGTCGATGCATCCATTTGAGGATCGAAAGGCGGTCATTTTCGGACTTGCCGCCAAATCACGAAGAAATGTTCGGCTGGTTCCGTGACTACTGGCGCATCGTGATCCCGCCCAAGTCGCTCGCCGAGATCGACGCCGAGCGCTGGCTGCTCGTGTGCCCTTTACCTGGCGGCGAGAGGTCGTGCCAGTGCCGGTCGTTCTTCCGGTACTACATTCTAATCGCCGCGATCACGGCCCAGTTTGTCTGCGGCGTGCTCTTCGCACTCAGCACGGTCTCCAAGCCGTTTGATTTGAACGTCTTTGGCGGCCACAACCAAGACCGCAACACGGCGCTTGGCATCCTCTCCGGTGTTTGCGTCGCGCTCACGGCCGCGTTCGTCGGCCCCGCGTCGGAGCGCAACGGCCCGCGCTGGAGCACGCTCCTCGGCGCGGGCTTTGTTGCGCTCGGCCTCCTCTCGGTGCAGTTGGCGCTTTGGACGCTCACGTGGTCGCCGCTCATCCTCGGCTGCGTCTCGCTCGGCCTCGGCTTCGGCTACCTCATGGTGAGCTCGATCTCGACCGTGCAAAAGTGGTACCCGGACGCGCGCGGCTTTGCCATGGGCGCGTCCATGGCTGGCTTTGGCGCCGGCCAAATCGCGTGGAACGAGCTGTACGCGTACGCGGACGATCGCTTGGACGCCGCCGCCTTCAA